ATTTATTACAGATTTAGTCAGTCATACACTTAGTTCTTATCAGTGTTTAAAAGAGGACGTGTTAAAGCACTGTTTAGTCAAAGTTAAACATCAAACATTAAAGTTCATTACAAGTGACCCTTCGAGGGCCACCATAACGCTCATGTGGCCCTCGGTCAAAATGAGTTTGACACCCCTGGTCTAGATGAATGATCGGCCAGAAAACTGCTATTGGTGCACCCCTGTGGGAGTGCAGCAGGTCATGGTCAGCGACATTTGGAAGCTCATGGGTATGGCAGGCTGTTTTTACATTTAATCAGCTTCACCACACTTACATCCCTGATGACTGCCAATAGATTAGAGGAAACACTGCATACCATCCTGCTTGTTTTTAAGTTTCCCTGCTCTACAGCAGGTCTTCAGCTTCCTAATCACTCATTTATCTAATCAGCTGTGTCAGAGCAGTGTAGTTGGCCTTAAAGGACCAGGATTAAACACCACTGTTAGAGGGAGTGTTGTGGTCAGTCGTCTGAGTGATGAATCCTCCCTGTGCCATCAAGTAAAAAGAGCTGCACAATTTTACCATTTTTACCCCCCCCCCCCCCACACACACACACACACACACACAAACAAATCCCGAAGACGTCAGTTTGTCAGAATAGTAGTTAAAGATTAACAGCAGCACAGAACATTTTTTAATATTTGTTCGTCTTTTTGGTGTTTCTGTTTGTAAACCTGCTCTGTTCATGAAATCTGTCCGCTGACACAGCACAAAGGCCGGTGTAATTCTTCAGCACAGGGGACAACTGCTTTGGTAAAAAAAAAAAGTGCATTTGTACTCTTCTGTCAGAAATAAATAATCTGATATCATGAAATATGGCCATCATAAAGAACTGGTAGCATGCTGAACAAACTTGGTTTTCAAAACCGCCACATTAATTTGTGTTTTTGACTTGTATTATAAATCGTACTTTCTGTTAAACCTGAATAAGTCGAGGTCTAGGACATTTATTTTTTCCACAGTTGTGTGTTACCCATCAATCCACTCAGACCCTTCGGTACCTGATTTCTCCTGCTGTCACTTCCGGGTACCGCCCCTTTTTATTTCAAAGATTATATTTTTTTTTTTCTCTGGGTTATTTTATTTTCCTGCCATCTCTTCTTTTCCTCACTGTAAAATGCATCCAGTGGAGTGTGTGCTGCTGGAATAACTGTGTGTGACTTGGTTTTTTTATTTGGCGTGTGTGCTTTTAGGCTCGACCAGCAATCATTCAGACTCCGTTGATGTTCCACTGATGCTCTGTTTACTGACCTCTGCTTTGGTTTTTGTCCTCCTCTTCTCCTTTCTCCCCTCCCCGCCTCCTTTCTTCCCTCTTATGCTCCTCCCATTATACATTTTTTTTCTTTCCACTTGACTCTTTCTTATTGACACAAATTTCTTTAATGCAACATACTTCTAAACTCTCCCCATGTACTTTTTTATCCCCACCGATGTAAAATTTATTTGATCATTTCTTTTCTTTCTTTTGTTTTTTATACTTTCGATTTCTGAATCTGATGTAAATCTGTTTTTGGCTCTGCCGTTTTTAAAACCCTGCTCTCCCACACCTCCCCCCGCTATCTTTGCTTCACCACCCCCCCACCCTCATCATCATGGAAACCACCATCTCCCCCCTCGTCCAACGCGGGGCGATCTGATCTCTACCTTCGTCTCTCCTCTTCCTCCTCCTCTGCTCCTCCTCTTCCTGTCCTCTGCTCTGCGGTCTCTCTCTCTAAAGATGGTCACGCCTCAAAGTCTCTTTACCCTCTTCGGTATGTTCAACCTCTACTATTCTATCTGTTTATCTCTCTCTGTTAATCCAGTTTTGTTCACTTTCTTCAGTGATGTGGTGGGCACTCTGCTCTTCTCTATCTGCCTGTTTTTCCTAGCTCTTCTCTATTGTATTGTCCACTGCAGACTTCAGATTTACTCCTGTCTTTACATTAAAGAGCAGTGAGTCTGGACCACTCTGAGGTCAACTGATCTCTTAACTGATGAGAACAAAGACACTAAAATCCTTCAGGTGTTTTTAAAATTTATAAAAAGTAACACTGGTTCAGAGGTTTTAGGCAATGGCCACCCCTAAAAAATTGGTTGCCCCCCACTTGGCCAAACAGTTTTATCTTTTTGAGTCCTAAGCTTTTTTCCAGCTAATTAGAATAAGTCGAACCTCATAAACATAAAAATAAACACTGTTTTTGAGCAATCGGGAGCTAAAAATATGTTTATTTAACATTAAAAACCTGAATATGGACAACTAGTCTAAAACTAATGTCATCAACATTAAGATGCAGGGTCTCAGGAAGTTACATGTATAAATATTTGTTTAACTTTCTTGTTTATTGTTTAACTTTATTCATTCCATAAAAAAACAAAATTTTATATACAATAAAAATAAAAAAATACAATGACATGAAAGGAAGCAGAGAGTATAATAATAAAAAATTATATTAAATTTGTATTTGTTTACAAAAGTAAATTTAGAGATAAGGCAGGCTTCAGTAGTTTGAGTAATGACAGTGATTTTCTCAATAAGTAATATCAACTGTAAATAAAAACAACTCAAGTAGACCAATTATTGTCTATCTTTTGGTTTTGGTGCCACATCAATATTTGTGATGTCCACCTCCATAAAAAAGGAACKTGCTTGTAATTTGATCAAATCAGCTGCACTAAAATACATTTTCTATTGTTTAAACAGCTTCATATTATTTCAATTAATACTTATAATAGGTGTGTTAGGAAGAGATTATTCCATTTTCTAAGAAACAATGTCCCATGTCAATATTAGCATAAACATCTGACTCATTATAAAGGATCAGTAACAGTTTGGTAAATAATCCAAACTTGGACAGATCAGCCATAATATTATGACCACTGACCTCATTTCTGAGAAACTATACTGTTGTATAATAAAATGTAAATAACAGCTGCTGTTTTTTCACCCTGCTGTTTTCTGTGTCCATTTTTCTGAAATGCGTTTCTGCCATCATGTTTAAAATGACCTTTTATCCCAGTCATAGTAAATTATATCAGTTTAATTATTAGGTTTTTTTTTGTTTGTTTCGTTGTGAATGAAATATGGGTTTATGAGATTTGTAGGTAATTGCATTTTTTTATTTATTTATTTATTTTGGTTTATATTTTATACAACATTTCAACTTTTTCAGAGTTGGGGTTGAAATAAGAGCAACAACACTGATCCCAGCTGTGGAGATGTCTTCATGAACAGTAGTGTGGAGTGTTTGCTGTCTGACTGGTCTGAACTGTTTCTGTGGGTAAAAACAGAAACTTATTCTAGACTCTGAAAGTGGTCCAGTGKTTTTTCTCTGCCCTGCAGCAGTATTTATCAATGGAGTCCAGATTATTCAGTGTTTGTGTTCTCATCATATTAATGGTTCAGTTGATCACAATAATCCAGAGAACTCACTCAGGCTTATTCTAGCTCCTTCTTCCGTCCTGTCTTTTTGCCTCTTTCTCTAGTTCTGTATTGAGATGTTCTAGTTATAGTACGTCTTTGTTTCTTTCTCTAAAACTTTGCAGTTTGGATTTCCTGCCTCCCAGTCATCTAAACTGGACCAATTCTAGCATAAATATTCTCAAAGTCCAAAAACAATCTTTACAGATAACATAAACTGAGTTTTTTTGTTGTTTTTATTTCATTTTTCTGCTTTACATGTTTCTATATGCAGCATGTTCTGTCAGATTAGTGCGCCTGGTTCAGTAGAAGTGGTTTATTTCCCTGCACTGTTTTTACATTTTATTCACCTAATCGAACTGAATCCTGCACTTTTTTGTCAGACATTAACCTGCCAGTCACTGTGTCAGAGTTAGCGCTCACCGCAGCTTCACAACAATAAATGACTCAGTTATAAAAGCCTTTAATGGTAGAGGTCAAATGGGAAGAGTCCATCTTTTCTTTTCATTTGTCTTTCTAGCACTAACTTTATTCCTTTCATCCTTCACACCTCTTCTTTTTTATCTTCGTCGGCTCCATCTCTCCTGCTCTGTCTCTCCTACCCTGCTCTCTCTCTCTCTCTCTGTCTCTCTCTCTCTCTCTCTCTCTGTCTCTCTCTCTCTGTCTCTCTCTCCCTTCAGGAGTCTACGGTGATGTTCAGAGGGTGAAGATCCTCTACAACAAGAAGGACAGTGCTTTGATCCAGCTGTCTGACGGCAACCAGGCTCAGCTCGGTGAGTGGAATTATCACTTTAATTATTAACTCGAGAAGTAATTATTTAGTTCATGGTGTCAGGAGTGAAGGTTTGATCTATTTTTTTAGTTATATGTCAACTCTTTAGCTTCTCATCAAAGACAAAAGAATAATCGACGATGTTAAAAGTAAAATGGTCKGTTCATAAAAATGATCACTATGATTGTGTTTTTAGCTCAGCAGGCACTTGCTTACTTTTTTCATTTATCAGCATATTTTTCTTTAAATTAAAGCAGTTGAAGTCAAACAATTAATCAATCAATCAAAAAAGGTCCATAGTAAAAAAAAAAGTAAAAACAAAGTAAGAGAAAAAATAAAAATAAACATGACATATTCACTGAGTCACAAATAAATGATGACGCCAATGTTTCCACAATCTTGAGAGAAATCTCACTGTACTAAAAACAGGATTTACTAAAATTGCAATTACATTATTGCATGACACAGATAATCTACACATGAGATTCCTGAGCACAGCTGCACAAGTGGGGACAGCATTATGTACAAACATGTGGCTAGCACTGCTCCATCTAGGCACTCTGAGTAGTAGCCTCATGCCATCATTGTATGCCACATAAAGTTTCTGCAGGCTACTTTTTTTGTATCGTCGCCACAGATGGGCCGTGTAAAGTGAAGTGCAAAAAACTTTAAAAAGAGCTATCTTCACAGAGGATGAGCACATAGCAAACTTTCTGATCAGAATATTAGCTTGTGCATACATCATACAATACTGTCTACAGATGTCCCGATCATCCGACAGGTCATCAGTTATATAGTGTCCCAAATATTTAATTTCATTGCAAATATTGAGGACAATGCCAGATAAAGAGAAGTCAGTGGTTATCAGATGCTTATCTGCTCTACTTCTAACAAACATAACATTGCTTTTCTTAGCGTTATACTTGATGTCAAAGTCTAACAATCATAACATTGCTTTTCTTAGCGTTATACTTGATGTCAAAGTCATAACCATACTGGGAACAGACCATTAATAATTGTTGAAGGCCAGCACTATATGGGCATAARATTACCAAATCATCTACATACATTATGTGATTGATCATGCGGTCACCAACTACACAGCCTGTTTTACAGCAATTCAGGCTCTTTGATAGTTCATCCACGTAGATGTTAAAAACGTATATATTTAGTGCTTTTTTAATAGGACCACTTTACATGTGAAAGCAGCTAACATTTTAAAGTTACGACCATTTAAAAAGTGCATATTTAGAGAATTGAAGTGTTAATTATAAAACTGTATTGTTCTTAGAATGATGTTATAGTGGCTATAAAATGTACTGTAAGGTTTAAATTACTTTATAAAAAGCCTAAACTGAATTTATAAACCCTTAAATGGTTGCATTTGCTGTTAATTACTTTGTTTCTTTAATATGTTGTTTCCTTATTCATTTTTTTTTTATTATTTTACTCAACTATATCTAGCATTGTTTTGATGAGATGCGATAGCTCCTTTTTAAAGTTTAATCTATATTTTTATCACTAAAAGGTCAGTAGAACCTTTCTTTGTAACGCTGAGTTTTAACCATAAGTTTTGTTTAAAAATAGTTTAACATTTAGAAGTCGCTCAGTTAGCTGTGACCAAAGAACAGTTTTATGTACAGAATGATAATCCTGTCGATAACACAAAATGATCAGCCTCTAACTAGTTTCTCCTCTTTGTACCTGCAGCTATGAGTCACCTGAATGGTCAGAAGGTGTTTGGTAAAGTGATGAGAGTGACTCTGTCCAAACATCAGACTGTAGCTCTGCCAAGAGAAGGGCTGGATGATCAACTACTAACCAAAGGTGAGATCAGTGCAGCTTTGCTGGGAAATATTTCTCATCTAATTTGGAGGAAGAGTTGAAGAAATAATTGTTTAATTATGCAGAGTCCTTTTTTCAATAAATTAAATCTAAGAAGATGTCTGCCTCAGGCTGTTTCAAGTTCGGACCATTCCCTCATTATTTTTGTCGACTAAACTAATGAAAGGTCCGATTTTTTTCTAAATGGGTTTGAAAAGGTGAAAAAATCCTTCAGTTTGATGTAAAAAGTTGTTCTAAATCAGTAAAAACAAAACATCATTTTATCAAGAGTATTACCTGTAATTTAAATAACTATATATAATGAATAATGAAGGGATTATTTTTACAATTAAGACATCAGCCTCAAGGAAGTAGACAGCTCCATGTCCATGTCTGCTATAAACAGAAGACGTTTTTTAATTTAATTTATAGTGAATTATGTTTTATTTTAACAAGATTTTTTACCTGCTTAAATTATGAAGACAAAAACATTTAAAACTGTTTGTGAGTCTTTTGTTGAATCACATTTAGAGCCAAAGAACAGAGTATAATAAAAGCTGCGGTCCGTCCACATCTTTACCTGATTTTATTCTCACATGGACATGAAGACAAACCAGACTTTTTTTCACTTACCTCAGGACAATTTAGTGACAGATGAATCTAAGGTTTTCCTTTATTTTAGTGATTTTATTAAAATTACAGATTAATTTCTTACTGATTTCTTGTTTTTGTTGGACAGATTTTTCTGGCTCCCCACTGCACCGCTTCAAGAAACCAGGCTCCAAAAACTTTCAGAACATCTTTCCTCCCTCTGCAACACTTCACCTCTCTAATATCAGGTAGTTCAACGTGAAAAACACACCAGTCGTATTTTTGAATTACAGCGACCACTTTTGTTTGACTCAGATTTTAGGGTTGGGCATAATCATATCGTGTGCAATTAATCATCAGAAAAACATTATTTTGGCACTTGATGATTAATAGGATTAATGCCAGCAGGCAGACTGACTGGGGATTACTCCGGTCAGTCTGCTCGGTCATGTGACTATGAAATAAGGGTGTCCAGGGACTCCAGGGGATTGATCGTCAAATTCATCGTTATCGGCTAAATACCACAATTAATCGTGATTAATTTTTTTGCCAATATCGCCCAACCCTACTCAGATTCTTTTCAGGCTGCGGCTGCAGTCGTCCAGGACACGATAAATAAAGTAAAGTTATCGCCCATCCAGGAAGCTTTATGCCTCTAAACTGGAGTGTGGTGGAAAGCTTTTAAACTGTGAAACTCTGTGTGTTTTCATGACAGTGACGGTTTGATGTTTGACTTTCAGGGATGGAGTTGGAGAAGATGATCTCCGTCTTCTGTTCTCCAACAGCGGAGGAACCGTCAAGGCCTTCAAGTTCTTCCAGTAAGGATGAATTTTATTTTCAGACGTTTTACTTAAATAAAAATAATAACTTCACAACACCAACCATTATGATGCTCAAAGACATCCTACCCAGGAGGAACCAAACAATCAGCTTTTGGTGTATTTACCTCATTTCTCTGCTCTCCAGGGATCGTAAGATGGCTTTGATCCAGATGTCGTCTGTGGAGGAAGCGATCCAGGCTCTGATCGACCTGCACAACTATGACATGGGAGGGAATCATCATCTTAAAGTTTCCTTTTCAAAATCTACCATCTAACCCTCACACCATCTCCTGATCGTCTGTCAAAAAAAAAACAAAATCACTATCATCTCTCCTCTTTTTTTACGTTATGAGAATAGTTTTCAGTTGAAGTATTTTTTAAAGATTCAAATTCCTCTGTCATTTTTTTAATGAATAAAAAGTGGTTTGCTTTGTAATTGTTCAAAAGTGTTTGAGCTTCGACGTTTCTGTTGTTTTAAGAAGCAGCTCAGCAGCAGCTCGTTGGCTGGTTCTGGTTTCTTCAGTAGAAGTGTTTTTTTTTTTTAGAGTGCAAGTCCGAGTGGTTCCAGGTGAGAGGATGTTTTGTGGTGCTCGGACGTGTCGCAGCAGTAAAAAGCTTCATATCGCTTCTCTCGGATCAGTTCCTGTCTCTGTTGGGTTAGAGGTTGAGGCTTAAGTAGTTTTCTACATCGTGACGCTTCATGAACCACTGAGACAATATTTTGTGCTTTAAGCAAAGTTTAGAAAAAAAAAACTTCTGTTTTCTTTTTTATTTGAAATATTTGGTGTCGTTTGATCAGCAGATTGCTCCTTAAAATATCCAGGCTGTAAACATACACTCAGATGCAGCAGAAGTGATTGAACTGGTTGTAAAATAGACCCATTAACTCAGACGTTAATGTTGTATTTAGGTTTTTAAATACCCTCTTTGTTTATTATCACCTGCTGCTGAAGATGAAAGGGCAATGATGTTTTTGTCCATGTCTCTGTGTGTTAGCAACATTTTAATGAAGCGCTCAGAAACTGACTCGATGCATGCTTACATCTGAGTCAGTCCAGTTCAAGATGGCCGCCACTGCTGCGGCTAAAACTCAGTCAGGTTTATAAATGTTAAGATCTAATTGAGAGTCCTCTTCAGCACACTCTGACTGCTGATAATCTCATGAGGCATCGATCATTTGTAAGTTTAACCAAAGTGGCTAAAGCTTCATCTGAGGCTGATTTGACCTTTCAGAAACCCCAATAAACGTTGAATCGGACTTGAAATTTCACGTATTCGTTAATTAACCAAAAATACAATTCCTGTTGATTCTCATGTTAAACTTCACATCTTTGACAGATCTGCTCTTCATCACAGAAGCTGAAAGTTTAACACGAGTTATGTGTTACTTAGAGTTAGCAACAAGTCGCTGCACCGCTGACAGACTAAACGTAGGTAATACAGAAAGGAGGATTTGTTCAGTTCCTGGGACGCTTCAGATCTGCTCACACACTGCAAAAACTGTCCATCTTACCAAGTTTTAAAATCTTATATCCAGTCAAAAATTCTTTGATCTTGTTTTGAGACTGATTTACTAAACAAGAACTGATAATAATAATAATAATCTTGTTTTCAGAATGTGTAAGATTATTTGTCTCGTTAGTCTGAAAATTTGACTCAAATTAAGTAAAAAATTTCTGCCAATGGAGTAAGAAAATTTGAGTTGGTAAGATGCTTGAAATAAGAAAAAAATTGAGTCAAATCAAGTATTTTAAGAATCTTACCAAGTTAAATTTTCATACTCCATTGGCAGAAAGTTTTGACTTAATGAGTCAAATTTTCAGACTAACAAGAAAAATAATCTTACATGCTCTGAAAACAAGATTATTATTCTTATAATAACTGTTTGTCTACTAAACAGTGTTCAAACCTTCGTGTGGAGTTTTTATTTGGAAGTTTGGTGTCCCAGAATCCTTTGCACCATGTGGAATGTATCTCCTTCACCATATTTAAAGGATCCACAGATGAACCTTTTTATAAAGAAAATAACCTGTTCAGTTCTTTGTAAACCAGCTGTGAGTGGGACACACGGGATGCATGCTAAACGCCCCTCTGTTTGAACCAGAAGTGAACATGTGATTCTGGTCTGGGTCTCCAGTTTTTAGGGGGACCTGTTGGGACCACATGTGCCTTTAGTCTGTGATCTGGTTTCACTGTTCCTACTTCTGGGTCTAAACATGTTATGGGTCATGGTTGCTGGACTTGTGTTCTAATAACTTGTTGATTCTAAAAACTTAATATTCCCAGTCCTCTGTATGAACGTGTTTATCCAGCAGAGATGCACACAAAACTGGGTCAGTGTTCAAAAGTCTTTGTGTTTTTCTTTTTCAGTCATTTCTCATTCTGTCTCATGAGTAGACTTTTATTCCTGAGTTTGTTTTCTGCTAAAGGTTTATTGTTTTTTTTGTAACTTCAGTTTTGTGAACATTGCAGACTTAGCACAAATTAAACATCTTTTCTACCAACAAGTCCAAGTAAAAGTGTGTTTTTGTGTTTGGATTGTTTGAAACCTTTGGTCTCGCCTGTATCTTACCTGAAATAAACTTCTCACTCGGTGCAGCTCTGCTCTCACTTCTTTCTCTTCTCTTTTCTTCTGTTGGCTGTGTCTGTTCTCTCTTCATCTGTTTATTTCTTATTGTTTGATTCATGTGAAACACTTCTTTTCTTTTTAACACAAGTGGTTAAAGTCCCAGCATTCCTTGAAGGAATGCATTTCATGGCTGTGTTTTAGAGTTAAACCGTCTTTGTGTTGAGAAATAAGGAAGTGGTCATTGTTTGGATCAAACCTTCAAAATAACTTTAAAATCCTCATTCTCTGTTAGCACTCAGAGTATGTGTTATGAAGGACTCTCAGCTACTACCACACCATGTTTTGGCTCATTAACTTAAATCCATTACCCTATAAAAAGTTTTGAGCCAAGGTTGCTAAACTGTGGCGGCCACACAGGTAAAATTTCAGCTTGTCAGATTGACACAGATTGAACTCTCAAAAATGATTTTATGTGGTTTATGAGATATTTTGCTAACAGACATAGCAGACAGGTTTTTATCAAAGATGTCATATTTGTTGCATTGTTGGGGRTGATCAGGTACTACCACACCAAATTTTAACTCAGCCTTGTGTTTTCAAGGTCAGTAAGCTGAGGCGGCCATCTTGAATTGGTTTGACTCCAATTAGTTACCAACAGAGATTCAAACGTGGATCTCCTTCCAGTCAATTAGCACTTAGAGCAGGGGTCTGCAGCCTGGGGGTCTGCAGCCACAGGCGACTCTTTAGTGKCTYTGCAGTGGCTCTTTCAAGCTTTGACYGAAACTAACATCAGATTAAGTTTTCTGGGTTTTTTTACTCACAGTAGCAAAAGTTCGCTTTAGCAATTTTCCTGTCAGTTGATGAATACGTGATAAATACTATTCATACAAGGATCACGCTAGTAGCCTGATRCTTCAATAATCCAACKTCCAGCTTTAAAGCATGATCTTTCTTTCAAATCCATCGAGGTTACCTTTAAAGGCTGTTGAGACTAGATAACATAAACTAGAAAGAAAATGCCTGCATAGTTCATTTGTAGTTTATTAAATTTAGTACAAACTTTATAAAAGCATTTCTTTTGTTTAAATGAATATGGTCTTTTCTTTTGTCCTAAAGTGTAAAAATAATGATAAACATTTAAATTAGTTATGTATTTTTAGTTTTATAATGTCACCCACACTGGCTGGAAAAGMCCCCCTTGAACAAACTCAAAGTGGCCCRYGGACCACCAGTTGATGAATACAGTTACAGTATGTTTTGCAGCTTGGGACACGTTTTATTAGTGAGCAGAAGAGCACAAATGTCTCTGTTGATTGTAAAGGATGCAGACCCCTGACTTGGAGTATAAGTTGGGGGTTAGTCTCAGCTACTGCCACTCCAAATTTTGGTTCAGTCTCTCTACAATCTAGCCAATTTTTGTGTTAGCTATAGATGCGTAGCTGAGACATCTTGAATCAGACTGACTTCAAAACTCTAAACTCATCTTAAATGTAAATCCTGTTTGCTTATGAGATATTTTGCTAACAGTACATACAAACACAGAGACGCGTGCAAAAACATCACTCTCTACCTTAAGGCCGTGTCGTACTAGACAACTTTGGCCAACTTATGAAACATTATTATGTCTAAATTGCTAATAAAAGTTACATATTTGATTAATTTGTTAGAATTACATTATGTACACACCAAAAAGAAGCTTCCTGTTGATTTTTTTTCAGTTCCAGCTTTAATATAGACATCTTTAAAATGTTCATAAGTTGGCAAAAGTTGTCTAGTGCAGTGTTGTATAAAGTAACACAAAGTGATACTTGAGTCAAAGTACAAGTATCTTCTCATAAAATTACTTTGTAAAAGTTAAAGTCTCCTCTAAGAATATTACTTGAGTAAAAGTCTTAAAGTATCTGATTTATTTTGTACTTAAGTGTTAAAAGTAAAATTATTGAGTAAAAACGAGAGGTTAGATTTTCCAAAAATTTTAAAGGCGTGCAGCTGTGATGGATTGTGTACAAACAAACATGTGTCCAAGTGGTATATATTTATACTTCTCATCCAACCACAATTAAATTCAAAGGCACAGTTTATCAGGATATAATTTTTTTAACAATAATGAACCTGAATGAAATAGGAGTAATGACTTTCTACTTCTTACATTTTTTAATGTAGGGAGTAGAAAGTACAGATAATTGTGTAAAAATGTAAGGAGTAGAAGTAAAAAGTTGGCTGAAAAAAATTTACTCAAGCAAACTGCCATAAGAAAAGGGGAAACTTGTTCTGGGTGCAGTACCTCTCTGTTCCACTAGAGGTCAGCGTGAGCCAAGTCCTGCAGAGAGGTTTGTGTTTAGCTGCTAAAGAAAAACTCATCGGCAACTTGTTGCAGTGAATAAAACTAAAATATTTGTGTATTTATCAGTCGGAGCCATTGTTATAAAGTACTGAATCTGTTTTTGTGACCTGGTTGTCATTATGACAGGTCAACGCAGAGTGATACAGTGTGTGATACAGAGTGATGCAGGACAAAGAGTGATACAGTGTGTGATACAGAGTGATNAAAGAGTGATACAGTGTGTGATACAGAGTGATACAGGACAAAGAGTGATACAGTGTGTGATACAGAGTGATACAGGACAAAGAGTGATACAGTGTCAGGGTGAGGGTGGCAGACAGCTGCTGCCTCCTGCAGATGGTGCATGGAGCTCTGAGGCAGCTGCTGCTTGTGTTCAGCTCTGCAGGTGGTTTCAGCTGAAGGTAAGAGCTCTGATCACTGAGCTCCTGTTCATTCACCTCACTCACCTGTTCACCCACACAGCTCGTTTACCTTTCATCATTCAGCTCCTTTAATGTTGTCCACCTGACAGGGCAAAAAAAAACACACCTAAAACTAAAACACTAGAATCAGTGTGCTGGGCGATATGCACTCCTTCACTGAATGTTAGACCTTTAATTTGAGCTGTGATCATTTCTCAAATATTTTATTTATGGGTATTTTGCTGCCTTATTTATCATCATGTCCCACCTGAGACTAAATTATTGATCCTAACCTAATATTACTAATAACTTTTTTTTAAAACAACACATCTAGATGAATAAATCTTGGAACAAATTTTATAAGAAATTAAAAGTTCAGATGTTTTAGGGAATAGTTTTAGGATGATGTTAGTTGCGTTCTCCAGCAGCTGTGGGTTCAAGATTTAGTAAATTTACCATCATTTTCATCTCTCTCCACATATTGTATATGTAAGTCAATATATTATTTCAGGGGGGAAAAAGTAATGTTTACTTTTCGGCTGCAGTACAAGTTACAAAACCTTTTTTTTTCTAATATATTTTATTCTAAAATCTGTTGATATTGTTCTGGTTTTGTTGTTTCTTTATTGCACTTTAACACTTCAAGAAGTGAAAAATGTAACATTTGTCTACTGTAGAGCACTGGGTGTTAAACAGCAGATTTTTTTTAAATTTACAAACAGTAGTTCTAATTTTTGTGCCTACTGTATCTTGTGGTTTCTCCAGGCCTTCATGGAGCCCTCAGCGAGGTGGATCAGTCGGCATCCCTGGAAACCAAAYAAATTTATATGTTTTAATTATGACTTTGCATCACAGTGAATATTGTAAATTCCACTGAGATGAAGGGAGATGCATGAAACAAAACTGCAGGGTCAGAGTAATATGGTGCTGATGACTCGGTCCTT